TGAATGTCTTCAGACTCTGAGAGAAGCCTGGTTTCCTCACAGTCAGGCCCAGCACACCAGCCCTGTCCCCCATGAGTCAGTCTAGGACAAGCATTGGCCAAATTAAATCCTTGACGTTCATCTGTGGGAAAATGATCTGATGAGGATAAAATTCTGTTTTCCACAGACACAGAAGTCAGAGTGGGCTTGCCTCTATTTCTGCTTGTGTCGAGACCTGGATGAATTGGCCAGGGTCACCTTCCTGTGTGTGTGTGTGATTTGGAAACTGTATTACTATTCAGTAGTAAAATGAGTACAGAATTTTGGCAAAGGCAAATGGGGGAGACAATGATAGAGCTTAAAAAAGAAATAATTGCAAGTGTCTGATCTGGCTGTGGAGCACGGCATGGCGAAATCAATGATGAGAACAATTTTAAAGCATGAAGAGGCATCAAGAGTGCTGATGTTACTAAAGGTGTTGCTAAGGGTACATTTCATTTCCTTTTTGTTAAATTTTCATTACATACATGACCTTTTTGTTTTTAAAGTGCTTATTTATAGCTTATACAGTACATTAGACATGTACTGTATATAAGAAAAGTCAAAATGGGGAATTATTTGGGGGTCTGTAACAGATTAATTCAATTTACATTGTTTCTAATGGGGATAAATGATTTGGTTTCCAAACACATCGCTTCTCGAACAGCCTTCGGAACACATTAAGTTCCAGAACCGAAGCTCCACTTACCTGCTGAAGTTGAACATATACACACCCTCTGACCCAGCAAGGGGCATGCGCGCACACAAAAGTGTGTATGAGATCGATCACAGTGCATTGCTCATGGCAGCCCCAAACCTGAGAGCAGCTGCCCCTCCGCTGTAGAAAGGACAAGTGAACTGTGGTCTCTTCAGACCAGGGAAGACTGCCCAGCAGTGAGAACAAATGTCATCTGCAAGCAACAGCACCGACGAGTCTCACGCCCGTAAGCTGGCCACAGCTATACCGAAAAGAATACACACTGTGCAGTTCCTTTCCCATAGAGACTGCATAGAAGGTCTTCCTTTATGGGGGGAAAATAATCTTTGGTGTCGGGCAGGCGTGATTGCCTTGGGGAAGGAGACACAGGATGAGACTTGGAAGGTGCAGGGGAGCTTCTGGAATTCTGCTGCTCTTTTGCGTCTTAATCCGTGTACTTATCCTACGGGTGTTTGCAAATGGGAAACATTCATTGAGCTGGATGCTTGAGAGTTGCACACTTTTCTGCACTTATATGTTAATTAAAAGTATTTTAAAAGTTGACGCTCTCATTTTTATCTGCATTTTATTTACTAGGGCAACTAAAACGTCTGAAACAATTTTTAATGCATAAAAATTATAAGTAAACAACTCCATGGGGATGCATGAGGCAGGCACATGCCCTCCATGACCCAATACTAAGGCTCTCCCAGCACCCACAGGCCACACTGGCCATCTGAGCAATAAGCAGCCGTGGGAAAGTCTGCCAACGACCACTGTCCTGTCATCTGCTGTGAGGGCCTCGGGTATCCTAGTCCTGCTACAGGGCAACACCACTTCTCAGAGGTACTGCACTTCTAGGGAGAGAGGAAGCAGAGGAGGACACGCAGGGGAAAACTGACAGACAGACAGAGGAGGCAGTGTGCACGTGAAAACTCTTACTGACCTTCTACCTGCTTTTTTAAAATCAAGATTATATTTCTGTTATACCTGGCAGCAACCTATGGTAAATTAATAGATTCAATCGATATTTTCTCTGCTGCTAAACTGCATTTTACTGATATACTCAGGGCCATAAGCAATTCAAGTCTCTAAGTAAGTCTCATGAATGTATCACTTTTGTTTCATGAACAATGCAGCTGTTATCAGCATTCTGCCCCTTGAATCGGGAACTATTGTTTTATTATAAGCACTGTGAAAACAGCAAAAGGGAAGTGGTACGACAACACAACACAAAACAGAAATTGGACGGACACGTTCGTTATTCAGAAGTATTATCAAAATATAGGGGACAGTCATTCTCGGTGGGTTGAAGACTGAATTGATCAATGGCTGGTGGAAGCTGTGTTCATTCTGAAAGACAGCAGGTGTTAAAACAATGAGAAGTGACCTCCTTTGCACCTGGCTTACAAAAGCTGCCTCTGTATTTGTGGGAAAAGGCAGGATAATAATAATAATCGAAAACATCCTGCCTCTGGCTAGTTCCTTTTTATTTTTTTCTCACACGGGGCAGTTTTATTTATAGATAATAAGGCCGCTTCTAAGAAACACACACACACACACTCTCATTTCCCAGTGGAAGTGATGTTTATTTGACGTAAAATAGCTTTGGTGTTTGTATAATCTGTTTTCTTTGGAATTCCATCTAGAAGGTGATGTACAGATTGCTCATATCCCTTTTAATTCAGTTGACTAGCATTTTCTCAATGACATCTGTCAAATAAGACTCATTTCCTGGCCCAAGTCCCCTTTGCTGCTATTGTGATGGACTGGAGGGAAGCCAAGCTGTACAGCCACACTCTGTCAGGCAGGCAGCTATCAGCTGTTGGAGTCGTTGTTGCTAAGCTGGTGTCTGTGTTGTGAGCGCCCAGCTGCACATCCTGCGAGGAGCAGATCTTGGACACCTGGGGTATCTCCCAAGATTTCTCTGAACCCCAAACTAGGAATCCTGCTAATTGAGATGTGAATTTTGAGCAGACCCCTAGGCAACCTAAGCAGCTTAGGGGACCAGCTGCCACACGATAGCGTGCGGGCTCTAATTTGTGCCAAGAGCTCTGCATGCATTATTCATCTAATCCTTATGTCAATCCTTCGAAGTGAGTGGAACTGTCCCTATTACAAATTGTAACCTGTCCTGGACATTGGGGGGTTGGTTAGAAAGACTGTGAATGTTATGTCTTTGAACACCAAAGATCTACCAATGTGCACTTTAATAACGCTGAGTTAATAAAACCCAGGCTTTATTTATTTCCAGTTAATTGTGGAAATGTCGGCAGCAGTATCTCATCCACTTGCTTCTGTACATTCACCAGACCGAAAAGGCGGATGTGGCAGCAGAGAGCTTCACACCTGGCATTTTAACGTACACCTCTTATGTAGAGTGATATTTTTATCCTTAGAAGCCCGAGAAATGCTTCTCACGTGTGAGTTCAGAGGAGAGGGCCTTCACATTCTATTTGAACTGTACACCTTTTCCCTTTGATCGAGCCTGCCTTCGCTATCCACGGTGCCCCAGGCCTACCGGAGGATGGAGGAGGAACTGGATCAAAGTCCGGGCCACGTCCTTTGCAGCGTGCCTTGAAGTCCCACGAAACCTCAATGGGATCACGGCAGTCACTTCTCAGAGTCCGGTACTCAGGCTCGTCGATGACTTTACCACAACCTCGTTACAGGCTAGGTAAACTCATCTTTGCAAGACTCCACTCCTCACTGCATTCAGGAAGGAATACGAGAAAACTATCAACAGTGCTCAAGCACTGAGTTTCCAGTAAAACATTTCAGAAACTCAATCTCCCGAATAGTACACTCACAGGGCCATACCCTCCGGGGTTCTAGCACATGGCAGTTGAAAAACCAGCCAAGGAGCCACCCTACACGTTGAGTAACAAGCAGGTGTTCCCATTGCGTAGAGATGGACTTAGGTGCAGAAATGTCACTGGAGCTGCTTCTAGTCACACTGTTAGGAAACGGAAGGGTTGGCACTGGTTGTCTGACAGTTCCCATCGTCTGAAAGTCCATCCCTCCTAATAAAGCACCCAGTTGTTTTCCAATGAGCGATGGGCTTATAACTTGCCTGATTATGCTGTAAACTACTGTGAGGGTGGCATCCAGCATCCTGAGACAGCTCCGAAAGATGGCAAGACCATCAAGATTGATGATGTCACTAGCCCACTGGAACAATCAGTTGTGAAACAGCCTCACCTCCATTCTTGCTGTGAAGGGAGATTATAAAACGTCCTTTTGTCTAAGGCCTTGGACACTGGGTTTTCTATTACTTGCATTTGAAAACATGTTGATGTACACATGAGTATCATTATTTCCTGGAGGGTTTTCGTACTCTACCCTTTCATCTCACTTCTTAGACTCGTGTCTTCTTTTCATCAGAATTATGGGTGAGAATTCTCCGTATTTTGTCTACTTGATTTCTTTCCCCAGGAGGGATATTCCGGAAGGGGGTGGGGTGGGGGTGAGATGGATGTCATTCTGTAATGCAGTGCCATTTCTGAAAGCTTTGGCATGAAGTTGTACTTAATTTTTTTGTTAGGTCGCTTCTTTATTTTTCGCTGGTTTTTACTTTTCTAGTCATTGCATTATTCACTGTGGGGGAGGGGCTCTGTCACCCAGATTCCGTCATTTCTACATGGATGTCCTCACCACGCTCTTTTGGCTGCATGAGTTCTGAATGTATTCCTGTACGAATTGCAGAGTGTAAAATTTGCAAATAAATCTGAACAGTTACTAAAAAAAGAAGAGCAAAGAAAGCAATCGATCGACTTGCTAATAACGGACACCCACGTAGCTTTTCCCATTTACCGCGCACCTGCGGCTCATTTCCATTAAGCCCAAGAAGGGCAGCGTCTGTGTTTGTCCAGTATCCCCAACCAAGTCTGCTCTTGGCTCAGAGCAGATGCCCAATAACGTTCTGAACGAAGGAATGACTGTTACTCTACTTTACAGGTGGAAAGGCTGAGGCAACAATCATTCGAGGCCTTGTCCAGGGCTACATATCTGAAGGTAGATGAAAACGGGATGACGCGCAAGTGGATGGGACCCGCGGCTGACCCGGATAAATCTCGCTGGGCGGGTCCTCCCGCAGATCGGCTCCTCCCGCAGGTCGGCTCCTCCCTGGGGCTCCTGCGAGGCCTGGGCTTCAACAGCTGATCCGCTGGTTCCTGCTGGGACTGCCCCAGCGTCCTTCGGCGCGGTTGCCACGGAAACAGCAGAGGGCAGCGCAGGCGCATAGCGCGCAGCGGGGGCGGAAGCGCGCCAGGCCGTAGAGGAATGGCACTGCGCAGGCGTAGCTTCTCCGTTGCTAGGTTCTGCCTCGCGTCCAGACCGGTGGCCACGGTAAAGTTCCAGTAGCTCTGGGTCGCCGCGGGATCCATCCAATTCTCCTCTCTGTGGTTGAGCATCCCTGGCTGTCACCTTTCCTTGCCCGAAGTGCGAGGATATTTCCAGGTCCCTGCCCCTCCCTCCGGAAGGACCACCCCCTGAGCGCCTCGGTCCACACCCCTCCAGCCAGGCCGGCCTTTAGGAGGACGTCTGAAGAGTTTCCCAGCGGGCGAGGGAAAGAGGGAAAGTAGCCAGCCATGTCGAGCGCGTAAGTAATGGGTTGCTGGGCCATAGCCATAAGGTGGGCTTCTCCAAACCAAAGGGTGGCTTGCGCTGCTTCTTTGCTTTTTTCTCCTCACCTTCTCCCTCCTTCTTTTTACATTTTAGCAAATAAAGGTTCTCCTCGGGCTAGAGTATCAGCTTCTTGTGGACAAGGAATTTCATAGATCTTCCTCCTGCCCTGGCACTGCCTCTTCCTGGCCACCTGGGGTGCTCCCTAGATCCTGCTGGTGTGTTTTGTAGGAAGCAGAACCTCAGTACGTTGCCTGCTTTTTTGCTAGTATTTCAGAGTAATACGTGGTTGCTTTGTGGAAACACCCAGGTCCCAATATTAAGTCAGGAAAGATGGTTCCCCTTGGCTTTTCCCAAGGACACCAGTCAGGTAGCCCTGAAGAGCACCAGCCTCCCGGGTCGCACTGCATCAGCACTTGCTCGGCGGCGATTTCCTTGGTCTTCGTAGTGACCACTTCAAACGTGTATTATAGTGCTGACTCTGGGTGCTGTTCTAAGTGCTTGAAATAGAATAATTTTCCATCTTCACAACACCCTGTAATGTAGGAGCTGCTACTATTATGTCCATTTTACAGATGAGGAAACTTAGGCACTAAGAGCCTAAGCACTCATATACAGAAAGTAGAGAGTGCCAACCCAGGCACTGTAGCCCCAGCCTGTGCAGTTACTAACCCTGGTTTCTCGGCATGGAAATAAGAGCAGAAAGATTGAGGGTGGGAGAGACCAGGAGTTCAGTTTTGGACATGTTGAGTTTGAAGTGCCAATTGGGCATCAAATGGAGATCAAATAGGCAGTTGAATATTTAAGTCTTGAGGTCAGGAAAGAGGTCTGTGTATGAAATATAAGCTGGCAGCTGTTGGTGTATGTGTGGTCTTTAATGAGGCATGGAGTGAGTGTAGACAGAAGAGAAAAAGGGTCTGAGGTCTAAGCTTGGTTCCTGTGATGGAAAGAGGCTGGGGACAAAAGGAGAAACTGAACAAAGGGGTTAAAATCATGCTCAGTGAGGAAGAAGCGAAATCATGGTGCCTGGAAGCCAGGTGAGGGGGAAAATGTTTCTCAGAGGAGGTAGTAACAGACTATGAAATGCTGCTGAGAGAAGTCAGAGGAGAACTGGGAAATGACCATTTATTTGGCAGTGCCGAGTCCAATGGTGACCTTGACCTTCAGTGGAGCGATGGAACAGAAAGACTCCCTAGAGTGAGTGCAGGAGAGAATAGGAGAGAAACTGTAGACAGTGAGCACAGCTAAGTTTTTAAGGAATTTTGCTGTAAGTGGGTGGCAGGGAAATAGGACCGGGAGACAGACCTTTTTTAAAAGATATTTTTTAAAGATAGGAAACAATAGCCTGTTTGTTTGTTGGAGGGAATGGCCCAGTGGTCAAGGAAACAGGATGCTATGGGAGGAGGAGGGAGCAGCAGGTGACATCCTGTTGGAGGGGGCACGGGACCAGTCCAGGCCTTGGCTTTAGATAGAGGAGCATTTATCACAGTGAAAGGGCAGACAGAGTCTCGGTAAACATGCAGCGCAGTGGGTGGATGCCCCGGAGGGGGCCTGGAAAGGTGGTGTAGATGGTAGACAACGGCGACACTGAGGGGCAGTGGGCCATACCTTCTGATGAAATGGGGTTCAAAGCTGGGGAGTATTGGGGGAGGAGGGAGAATGGTCTGGAGGGGGCAGTAAGGAGCAAGGAAGGCCCTTGACCCAGTTGCCAGTGGGGAAAAGGGAGCCCCTCCCCCCTCCCCCTCCCCCCCTCTCCCAGAGGGCCACTGTGTCCTTAGGGGACAGCCAGGCCTCCCTTACAACAAAAAGGCTCAGGGAATATTCCAGAAAGAGAATTCACAGCTAGATAACAGTGGAAGAAGTGAAGGTTTGTCGTGTGTAATAGAACTTGGTGAGAAGTCCCATTTTGCAGTATTTAGATTTTCTATCGAAGTCCACGGTATGCCTGAATATTCATGCCTCCTCCGCCCCACACCCCTACTTCCAGTTTAGGAACACTGCCAGGCTATGGATATTACAATCTGGTCTTTTTCAACTGTCATATTCAGTCTCCTCCACCCGCAGTCCCCCTGACTTCAATATCTGTAACATTTCTAGGTCATATGCTCAAGCCTGAAACCAATCATGTACTTAAACAATTCTAAGTAGCCTCCTGGATAAAATAGTTCCTTCTCTTTACAAGGCGCATGTAAGATTTCCAGAACACTCCCACATCTGTTCTCCCATCCCGCAGTAATCCTTCGGGGGGCCCGGGGCAGGCGTCCGTATCCAGCCTGAGGAAGTCAAGGCAAAGGAGGTTAAGTGACCTGCCTGAGAGCAACTACTCAGGAAGCAGGTTCTGATTTTAAACTTGGAGCGCTTTTGCCTTTAAACGCCACTTTGCCATATCCAGGAGAAACAAAAACACATGTCCACGCAAAAACGGCACAGGAATACTCCTGGCAGCGTCAGTCGCAGTAGCCAGAAGGCAGAGCAACCCACGTGCCCAGCGGCTGATGAACGGATTCACAAAATGTGTCGTGTCCATGCAATGGAACGCTAGTCAGCAATAAAAAGGAATGAAGCACTGAGACCGGCCACAGCGTGGATGACCTCTGAAAACACTGTGCCAGGGTGAGGCGCCAGCTGCAAAGGACCACCCAGCATCTGATTCCACTTACGTGTAATGTCCAGAATAGACCAGTAGAGCCAGAAATTAGATGAGTGGTTGTTAGGGGCCGGGGAGATGGGAATGACGGCAAACAGGGAGTGACTGCTAACGGGTACAGGGTTTCTGTCTGGAGTGATGAAACTGTTCTGAAATGAGGTAAACATGATAGTTGCTCGACTCTGGGGATATACTAAAAGCCACTGGTTTGTACACTTCAAAAGGGTGAATTTATGGTATGTGAATTATAGCTCAATAATGCTCTTATGAAAAAGTCATCTCTCTGCATCCCTTATCCCAGTGGTTCTCAACCTTCTGGCCCTTTAAATACAGTTCCTCATGTTGTGACCCAACCATAAAATTATTTTCGTTGCTACTTCATAACTGTAATGTTGCTACTGTTATGAATCGTAATGTAAATATCTGATATGCAGGATGGTCTTAGGCGACCCCTGTGAAAGGGTCGTTCGACCGCCAAAGGGGTCGCAACCCACAGGTTGAGAACCGCTGCCTTATCCAATGTGCTCTTCATGGGCACCGCCTGGAGGATGCTGCACCTCCCGGCAGTGAGGTGGAATGAGGCTCAAGCCGGTCTGGGGTTGTGTGGGAGGTGGGGGCGCCACCGGCTGGCCTGGCTGAGGCCCAGTGTCCAGGTCCCTGGCAGACCAGGGAATGGAGGGATTGTGGCCACTGGACATACATAGGAAGCACTGAAGCCAAAGTCAGTCTCCAGGGTACGGGGGTTGGCGTGCTCAATTGGCTACTTAATATTTCCCCATCAACCAGCAACCTTTGTCTGGTCTCTCCAACAAGGGTCAGTGGACAGACAGTGGGTGAGGAAGAAGGGGCTGCAGCCCAAATAGCAGGACTTGAGGGCTCAAGCCACCAGGATGGCCTTTGGCCAAAAGTTCCAGGGAGTGGTCGGCTCCACCACAGCCCTGGAAGGGTTTCTGCTTCTCTGACCCTGGGTGAATTTGGACGAGGTCCTGGCTGGGTCTGCTCCGAAGCAGCGTCTAGGTGCTCTTAAATTCTAGGAGTGTTCCATTCTGTTCACTTGGCTGTGGTTTTCCTGGTGAAAGCCTCTTCTACCCAAGATCCCTTGCTGTCGATGGGTTTGGGGCTTTGTGGGGTTCAGGTCACCCCACCAGCTTCCTATGCAGGCAGTATCCTTAGCTATTGCACAAGCTTAATGCTTACCAGTGTGTTCAATGCTTTGAAGTCTGATAAGATGCCTTTTATCATCAACTCCACCCCCCTCCCCCAATGCAGAAATTATGACTAAAATTCTTTCTAGAGTCTGCAGTATATGATTACCCAATTCTTGGTCATATGAAATCTGTGTGTCAGGCTCAGGAGGCTGCTTTCTTTTTATTTGGTCTCTCAGGGAAGGAGCAGACATTGCCTTTTGCCTGCTCTGCAGCTAGCATTTTGGATGTTTCTTCAGCTTTGCTCTGGGTTTTAGCCACATCTTGCTACTTTGCTGTACTAATTGACTTCTTATATTTTTGTTACTGATTTCCTTAGATTTTGCAATGTACAAGCAGTCGTTTACAAGCAGTTTTTAAAATCTTTTCTATGAATCCCTTTCCTATATGCCTATCCTTTTGACTTCTGTTTTTCTGGGTGTGTTTCTCAGCCAAAATCATTTTTGGTCTCTGGATTTAGGATGTCGAAGCAGTCATCGTCGTCTAGTCTCTGGGGCGTGTAGGTAATGCTCTTAATCGGGCACGCATCGTAAATTAAAATTTATTGGGCATCTTTAGGTATCTGTGGAAATCATCTCTGGTTTTTACCGCTCTGTCGCTGCGTTTAGTTCAGCCTGATGTTTAACTCTCCTGAGTTCCTGCGATGACCCCCTCCTTGGTCGCAGGGAATGCTTCTTTTGATCTGGCGCCCTGTTCTGTTTGTTAAGTGGAGTTTCAGATCCAAGTTTAAACAGCATTAGCCTGTAATTTCCTTCTATAATGTTGTCCTGACAGGTTTAGGCTCTAAACCCTATTTAGTCCACAGAACGCACCGGGCGGGTTTTCTGTTTTATGTGAACATTTGTTGAGCCTGTTGGAATGCGCAGCCCGTGGCCTCGTCAGATCGGGGAGGGGAGCCCCTTAGGCCTGCTGCCCCCTCCCCCATGCCGAAAGTCTGGGCTTCTTTGGACCCTACACAGTTTTATATTCTCCAGGCAGACATTTGATAAGCCTCTGTTTATTCTGATCCACGATGCATCCGGTCCCTGCTCACTCTGCCTCCTCCCCTCCTCTGCTGTTTGCTTATCTTTTTGAGGCCTGACAAGCAGAAGTGCCCAGCCGTCCCCGACGTTTTGAACAGGCAGGTGACATTGCCGCTGTTGTTACTGTTCTTTGTGGGCTTGTTTCCGGTAAACAGCACTGGTTTCTGGTCCCGCGTTATGGGTGGAGTGAAACGTCCTGGGCGAAAGGAGTTCTAACTTTCTGACCATCAGCTTCTCTTTCCTGACAAGTTCGCAAAGCAGAGTGCTCTTCACTGCCATGCTTTTAAAACATTTCTAAGTTTGGAGAAATCGGGCACTTGAACCCTGTGGCTGGAGTGCCAGGGGCAATATTCAGTATCCAAGCTCCCTGGGAAAGGGGCAGGGGAGGAACTGTGGGAGATTTGGAGCCATAAATCTGAGTTTTCGTGGTGTCTGTCCATCTAGGCAGAAATCACAGCTGTGCATTAGTGGTGGCAGTGGCTCACTCATTTCTGGTAGATGCCGAGGTGGGTCAGTTTGGATAGTGGTCTGAGCTTACATCACAGGGACCTGTGGTCCAACACTGGCCCCGTCACTCAGGAGCAAGCGGTCTCCTTCCCCCGACCGTGGTGGGAGTGATAGGAGCCCCCTTGGTGGCATGTCGCCAGGATGACCTGTAGGACAGAAGGTGGCAGGTGGTCCGAGCTCAGTCAGTGGTGCTCACAACTCCTTACTCATAGGAAAGTGCAGAGCACGAGTGAGGAAGGGCAGACAGTGGGGCCAGAGCAGAGCAGGTGCGGGGGATGCCTCGCAATGACCTTGGGAAGGTAGAGGAGGGGCCCCAGTGTAAAAAAGTAGATTGAAGGAGCATGTTTATCACCACCTCCTCTCAAATCACCTCCAAAATGGCAATAAAAGATTTAAAAGGCTATAAACGCATGAGGGCCAAGGGGACACTGGAGCATTTGACAGGGATGTCAGGAAAATGTAGGAGGAGGGAAAGGAGGCTGAATGAGAAAGGAGAGGCAGGGCAGAGACCGACAGGGGCCAGCAACCGGGGAGATAGCAAGCCAGGTCTGGGCAGAGCCCCTGGGAAGAGGGGAGGAGGTCCGGTCCTTCTCAGCGGGGCTGGGCGGGTGAGGACGGGCTGCAGATCTGTATCAGGGACTTCAACCCAAAGCAGCGCTGGGCTGCTCATCAGGCAGAGGAGGCGTGTGCAGGCGCCTGGGGATGCCAGGCATAGGAGAGGCCAGACTGAGCACAGGAGAAGTGAGAACTCTCAGCCCCCTGGACCCACTTGCTCTGCGGGCAGATAGACACCTGGACAGACATCAACATTCTTGGGTCCTTCTCTTCCCCAGGAAGTGGCCAGGATCCTGCCCAGCCCTTCACCCCCAGGTGAAGCCCACTGGTTCATAAGCTCCTTCCCAAACACACCAAACTTCAGTTCGCTTTTCAGTCCTGATTCTTAGATATTATACAAAGCCCAAATCACCCAAAATGCCTTATAAAACATTTCTGCCATGAATGGCAAAATCCAGACAGGAAGAGAATGACGCAATCAGCAGCACAGGGGACTAATGAAGGGACCGGTGACAAAGGTGTGAGCTGAGTCCAGGGAAGCCAACCAGGGGTGGTGTGGTGTCCTGGGGTTGGCAATGCCATCCTGAGCCTTTGGAGGCTCCCAACTGTGTTGTCTCACCCAGCTGCAAGCTGGGGCCAGGGAGCCTGCTAAGGCAGTCCTTAGAGGTCAGCCTCCAAGCCGTCGTCTGCACTGTGCTCCATTATGTTTGCAAGGTTCCTGGTTGGTGCTTACAAGCTGGAATTCACTCATTTTTCACTGCTGTGTGGTAATCTATTGGTGAATATACTGCAGTTTATGTGCCCGTCTCTTGTTGATGGACACTTGGGTTATCTCCAGGTCTTTGCTATTATAGAGAAATGTTATTGTGGTCATTCTTGATGCAGATTTACAAGTTTCTCTGCAGTGTAATTGTTCCTCCATAGTGTGTGCATGTGTTCAATTTTCCAAGAGGATCCTGAGTTACTTTCCAAAGTGGTTGGTCCAATTTATACACCACCATCTCTATATATGGACAAATCAGTTAACTAGCTTCAACACTGGCTTTATAGGTATAGCATATCGATAAAAGCCTTCTTAAACTATTTATTTGATGATAATAGTAGAAGTGGTCATATCTAAAAATCACATGTACATCCAAACAGGACATAAATTATCTAAAGAGCCTGTGACTACATGCAGTGTTCTGAGCTCACACTTGATGATATTACCTTTTGTTATTCCAGATGCCCAGTCTGTATGCCTGACAAAGTCATTGTTGCTTATTGCATTATCTGGACTCTCTGTCTTTTCTCAGAATATACAATGAGATGTGGCATCAGACCCAAGAAGCCCTCAATTCTTTGCTTGATAAAGAGTCTCAGAAGATGGTAGAGCCACACAGAAATCAAGTTTTCATCTTCCATGTGTTAGCCACCTTCTACATAAAATATGTTCAGATCTTTAGAAACCTGGAGAATGTCTATGACCAGATCGTTCATCCGCAGAAACGAATACTGATCCGGAAAATACTGGACGGAGTGATGGGTCGCATCCTGGAGTTGAAGAACGAAATGGTTGAACTGGAATTAACTGAGTTCCACTATTTTGATGATATCTTACAGGATCTAAAGTTGGCTCCCGTAAGTACTCGGCTCTCTTTTATTATTATTTTCTTTTGGTTTTAAATAAGATGTGCAGTCCTGTGACCAATATTCTCCAGGCTGTCTAGACAGATTTTCTTGCTATTTGTGGTGTTGGAAGTTGAAGCACGGCCCTTCAGTTCCACCACACTGCCGTGGGCCCGGCCTGGGTTTCCTTCTTTTGGGGCACAGTCTTTGGGTCTGTTGGACACTGAGGTTATTGTCGTCTTGTCATCATGGTGTCTGTCCTGGCCTGTTGGAATGGAGCAGGCTGACCCCTTCCCAGATATGCTGTGGTGCAAACCCTCCCATTTCCATCAGCCGTGTCTCTACTCTGTTTCTCAAGGAAATCTCTCTCTGGCTTCTTTTCCATCATCTTTTGGATGAGCAGCCTTGGTTGCTGGTTCCCTATTCCCAGGTGGATGCATCTCCTCCATTGTTTGGGTCATTGGTGACTCAGAGGATGTGTGATAGTAGATCTTTAAGCCTTAGGCACCAAAGAAGGGCTCCCTCTCCCTCTCTGAGGCCCTGGAGCTCTCCCACCTGTGGCCACAACGCCTTCCTGTGAGCGTTCTGCCCCTGCGACTACCCTCTGACCTTTGCTGCCAGACGCCAGGGTCTCTTCTGACACTCTGTCTGGCTAGGTCTTCCAAGGGCCAGTGGATCCCGCACTTCAGCTTCATGGCCCCGTGAGCTCAGGCTTCATTGTGAAAGGAACGATTTCCCTAAAGTAAAGATAAAAGGAGAAAATGTTGAATTTTCTACATGGGGTTTAATGTTTCTTCCTTTTGAAAATATTTGGGCTTCCTTAAAGGTTATGTTTCTTTCTGGGATAGACTTTCCTAGCATTAGTAGTGCATTTTATCAGAATGGCCTAAAGACTGAAGAGAATAACTGAAATGAATGAAAATGTTGAAGATCATTTGAAAACCTTCATGTTTACTGCATTTATTGATAAGAGCTTGAATTAAAGCTTTTTTAGGACATGCACTTTACTCACCCATGTGAAAATATCAAGAACAACTTAGGATAAACATGAAATAGTCATTCAATCATATTCAATGATTGATTGAATTTATCAATTTAATTTTAAGGATATTAAATAAATATTCCTAAATTTAAGGAATAAGAAATTTATGTAATTTATATGGCAGGTTTGTTCAGTTCATTCCCTACTTTTCTTACTACTTCCATCAGTACTCTGCTGCAGCTGGTTTATCTTCTTGAAGGCCATGGAATTAAGAGGGATGCTAGAACCATTGAGCATTGAGAGGGATGATGGAGCCACTGAGCATTGAGACAGGTGATAGAGCCACTGGGCATTGAGAGAAATGATGGAGCCACTGAGCACTGAGAGGGATGATGGAGTCACTGAGCAGTTAGAGGGATGGATGATGGAGCCACTGAGCATTGAGAGAGATTATAGAGCCTTTGGGCATTAAGAGAGATGATAGAGTCACTGAGAAGTTAGAGGGATAGATGATGGAGCCACTGAGCATTGAGAGAGATGAAGAATAAGTGACATCCTTCTGGAAACCTTCATAGCAGGAAACTCTCAACAGTGTTTTCTGCCAGTCCTGGAAGATGTGGACTGACCATGTGACGACACTGAGATCCAACTGATTAGAGGGTGCATCCAACATCAGTTACATGGACTTCATAAACAGTGCCCTGATCAGGGAGACACACTAACCTCTGGAAATGTCTGTGGGGACTAGTCCTGTATTTCAGGGTGGAAGCCCAGACCAACTAGCATCCTCGGTATTTGGGCTTCAGTGGCTCTGTCACCTGCATAGCCTGCAGGTCCTCTATGTTTGTGGGGCCAGCACCCAACTATTTGATGGGACCTGTAGAACCAGGAGACTTCCCTAATAGGAGGGAAGAGGAGAGAGAGAGAGAGAGAGAGAGAGAGAGAAAGAGAGAGAGAGAAAGAAAGAGAGAGAGAGAACACAATACTTGAGAAAAGTACAACACTTGAACATGCTTGCTAATAAATAAAATCTTGATAAAAATCACAACATAAAATAAAAATATAATCATTCTCCCCTGACTTGCCTTTGTCCCTGGACTACACTCACCCACTGGATCCTAGAAACGCATGCTTAATGCACCCCAATACTCCATTAGCCTAAAGGTTTGGTTTTCAAAAACTTTTGCCACCTCCCAGAAGTTCTGGGGATCCCATCCCACTAAGTCCTTAAAAAGACACCTTTTTATGCTATAATATTTATTTAGGGGAAGGCCTGTTCAAAATTCCTGGTTAGGGCAGAGAGTGTGAGTTCACATCAGAATAGGGAAAAGGACAGTTAATCCTGAAAATCAGAACCTTAGCTTTCCCCAGCCAACTGGTCTACGAGAAGGCAGCCAGCCAGGAGTGTCCAAGAGTATCCAACAGTGTTTCTCAATGGAGTTGGTCAAGGGCCCACCTAAGTCCTTTAATAGCCTTTGTACACTCCTGATTATTGAGCTCAGACTGCTAAATACTCATTTGACCTCTACTAATTTGAAATATTAGGTAATGTACATAGTGAAGAATAGAAGTTTATATTTATTGTATAAAAAACAAGTTTCCTAATAATGCAAATTAATTTTGTAAGTGATTTTTGTAATGGAGTAATTTGGGTAAAAATAAAACAAGTTATTTGATGATGCTAGTGATAAATTATTAGGTTTAACTCAAAGATCTCTACAGCTCAAGATTTTGCTATCCTAAGTTGCATTATTATTCTAGGTAGACTGAGATGATATTACATTTCTTTAAAGAAATTCATTAGTTAATGGAAGCCTAACTGATATGAATTACTGAAATCTTACTGTAATGATTAAACAAGGAATATGGGTACAATTTTTCCTTTTGACTTTATTTGTGTCTCCTTAGCAGTAATGAACTGTCCTCACACCACCGCCTCATCGTCTCTGAAATGAGGATGGGAAGTCAAGCCTGTCATGTTTTTACTGTATATTTTACATGGATATGAGTCCTGGAATTGTGATAAAAATGCTCTTTTGCTTATTTTTTCTCTTTCTCTAGCAACAATTAGATATTCCCATACCCAAGTATTTTTTGAAGGAGAAGTTGGAAGTAATAAAAGGAAGAGAGAAAATCCTTGCTCAAATATTAGCGGACACAGGATTAGACATACAAGAAATGGTTCGTATATCATCTTAACACACATTATTCTGTAGTAATCTACAAACTCTGCTTTTTATGCTCCTAATTGAGAAGCAATTAAATTATTTTTAGTGTGAGGAGAGCAGTACCTTTCTCCCCTTGTTACTCAGTATAGAAGTTTTTGGTGATTCATAACTATTATTTGTCAAGAACTTAGAAATGGAGACCAAAATATAATACGCTGTTGGTTAAATCGGCACCTCTAAGATTGTGTAGATGAGCAACTCGGTTTAATTTTTTCATCTCAAATTCACCTCGCCTAAGTCAGAAGCTGAATGGTGTTCATATAAAATAATGGAGGGCTGAGATAACTTACACGGAACTCAAAAATGACTCCACTTTCTAAAAAGCTGATTGACCTTCACAGCCTCAAGTTCAAAGCGAACCAGACACTTTTGGCAGCTATGCCACCCCTGCCAGTGCCGACCAGGGTGCCCAGGATGCCTCTCCTGTGCCGTCTCCCTACACACAGGCCCCGTTGGGTACTGCCAGCCTGATGCCAGGCTCATGCTGAGTGGTGATGGGGTGAGATCACGTGCTCTGGGTTCACCAGCCTTATACTGTCTCTCGTTTTGAGTAGGTGAGCTGCTTCCTGGGCAGAGCGGGCTCCCTCTCCTCCCTCTGTCCCAGCCTATCCAAATGACACTCATTCCCTCAGGAATTCTTTCCTGACCCCCCCTAGTTGGAGACAACTCTCCTTCCCACGCCTGTCCCCTAAGTAACTGACCCCTCTTCCACATTGTACATTCCTGGAAGTAGGTCCCAGGGCTGACTTGCCTGGGTCATTAGCCATCCTCACCCCTGGAGCCCTGAGTCTGCCCTTCAGTTCATGCTCAATCTGCATGAAGCCCTTCATTTAGTCACCCCTCCCATCCCCTCCTGAGCCCAGAGTACTGGCAAGCGAGCAGAATTAAGGTTGCACAGGGGAGCAGAGAAGAGAGATTACATTGCACATACTACAGGAAAACCCTAAAAATTCCTCTTTGCTGTTTCTCTTCCCCCTTCCCCCCAGTTCCTCTTCCTCTGTGTGGGTCAGCAACAAGGAGGCTCTACCTCCCTCAGCATCCAGCCCTGGCACTGCTCAGCTCTGGGTCACAGGTGCTCACTCTCAGCAAGATGCCTGGCTTCTGCCCAGCTGGCGTGGCTCAGTGGTTGAGCGTCACCTATGGTCCAGGAGGTCATAGTTCGATTCCCAGTCAAGGCACATGCCCAGGTTGTGGGCTCGATCCCCAGTGTGGGGCGTGCAGGAGGCCGACGATCAATGATTCTCTCTCATCATTGATGTTTCTATATCTCTCTCCCTCTCCCTTCCTCTCTGAAATCAGTAAGAATATATTAAAAAATAAAAAAGACTCCTGGCTTCTGGCACCAGCCCTGGGCATCTGACTGATGTCACCATGCCCTTCGGGGTCTCACTGGACCCCCACTCTCATCTTAAGCTGCTTATTTCTGGAAAATATATGCAATATATACCCCAAGAGGAATTCTGATAAATGAAAATGATTGTCCGCTCCTACATTTGTAATACTTAATATTTACTCTCAGAGCCTCTATCTTTGTCGCATCGACTACTCCATCCCTTAGAAGTTGCCAGTAAGGACTGTAATTATCTTCAGAACAACAGACAGTACAGAATCTAAAGGAAATAAATACAATAAGAGCTAACGTTTGCTGGGCACCTGCTATCTGCTTAAGTGCTTTTACACACATCTTCTGACTTAAAGCCTGAATAACATTCATTCCAGTCTAACACGCGCTCTTTCATTATTGAAAATGTGTGCTCACTGCAAAGGTGAAGGACGAGAGCTCACTGAACACAGAACTCTGGGGGACTGTTAGGTGAATTTGCTTCCTCTGAGGAACCCAGTCCACACTGAGGAGTGGTGACTGCTCTAGAGGAAGGAGGGGCCTCTCCTTCACATTGGCTCCACCCCTTACTAACCAGGGAATGTGTGCAAATCACTTTACTTCTTGGAGCCTCATTCTCCTTCACCCTTAAGTGGCCACTGTAATGCCTGCCTTGATTTGATGAGGATGTGCATGGAAAGTGTCTGGCATCTGTAGGTTCTCAGTCCATGTCCTTTTGCTGTCCTTCCTGTTCATACACACACATGTGCACACCCATGCACATACACGCCATTACACAGAGAAGTGATGGCCCCGGGTGATGAATCGGAGCAGCCACACTTGGGACCTCAGTGTCTTGCGCTGTGTCCTGATATCATGGCCACTGCTACCCTGAGGCCTGGACAAGGACTCAGCCTGTGCGTGGGTGTTTTTGATTCCAGTGGCCTCTCCCATCTGCCCCATCCATGTATGAGGTTCTGCCCAAGCCAGACCACATGCACAGCCTCCCCTTCCCTCCCAGGAAAACGGAAGGCCGAGGGCCTGAGCCCGCACTGGACACATGCAGGCCTCTGGGTGCCTCTGCAGCCTTGCTCTTACTCCTCTTTCCTCCAAAACATCACACTCCCTCATCTGACTTTGCCTCCAAAGACAGCATTGTACTGCGCCAGCCCGTCATGTCTGAATGTTTTGAAATGCAAACTTGTAGATACTGGAGGACATTTCATATATAAAGATAACACTCCTCCAGTAATTCTAGCATTCGTTATATTCACCAGATCATTCTGTAATGGGTTTTAAAGTCAGCATTTTACTTCACGTGTATTTTATGTTTTAAATTCTCAGAGATGTGTTTGTTTTTTGTTTGTATTATGTTTTTTTAAATATGTTTTTATTGATTTTAGAGAGAGAGGAGAGAGAAATAGAAACACTGATGAAGTTCTAGTCAATTGGCTGCCTCCTGAGCGCCCCCTACTGGAGATCAAGCCTGCAACCTGGGCTTGTGTCCTGACGGGAATCAAACCCGTGACCTCTTGGTGCACGGGACAATGCTCAACCCCTAAGCCACACCAGCCGAGCTAGAGATGTGTTTTTAATTCATGGTTATACTATTAAGTTAATGAACATTGATAGCCATTTCAAGTTTCATTAAATCCATTTTATTGGCATTCTTAGTATAATTTGCTGCCAACCTAAAATGTGGAGCTAATTAGTATTTTGTTTGGAATGGTAGAGGAAAGCTGAAGGGGTGCTTACATGTGGGACCACGGCACGAGTATGGCATCTTATCAAAATATACATAAGTCATGGGGAAGATGATTAGTAGTGAGCGGACGTCACACTCTTTATCAGCAGTTTGGCAACTCTGCAGGGTGGGGCTGGCAGTCCGCCTGTGATGTTTCTGGGATCAGTTGGTATAGTTAACATGATTAAATATTGATTGATCTCAAATATTTTTTGCAGAAATTATCTATAAAGACCATTTCCCTAGAACAGGCTGTGAAATTAATTCAGATTGCAGAGAGGGCACGGCAAGGTCGCCTGAGAGCACTGTTCATGAAGCAGATCTTCCTCCAAGAATTCAGAGCGAGGCAAGCCAAGCTCCTCGGCGAGAAGATGGCAGACGTGGGGGCAGCGGCACTGCGGATCCAGAAGGTGCGATGGGATGGGGAGGGCCCTCAGTCCTGGGGATCCGGTGTCTGGCACGCCAGGGATGCGTACCGGGGTGCAGTCAGCTCCGAACCTCAGAATTCCAAAATCTTACCTGTAGTAGAGCCGGACGAAATTCCAGAAAGCTTGATTTTTCTTACCCTGGGGAAACCATTAACTAAGCTTGGTCCTGTTTTTTAAATGTTATTATAAATAGGTCTAGGCATTTTCTTCACACGTTTTTGAAGTCATTGATAATTGTTGGAAAGAATGTTGCTGAAAACTCAGTGAGGAGATAAATCTTTAATGACTTTTTAAAACCCACGGACACATGGACAATACAGTACAGGAGGTGTTGGTGCCCTCCAGCACGGTGCACACAGGGTCCCAGCGACCAGCGCCAGTGAGCGGGGCCTCGGGGCCCTTTTAGAAAGCGGGCCTTGAGGTTTCCTCCCCTCAGTCAGATTTATACCCTGTCGTTTTTCAAATACAGACCACGTTGCTTATAGGAAAACACAAAACACGGCATGTGACAAATTAGAATTAGGCTGGAGAGAAAGGAAGTACAAGGGCATGAGCTGGAGCAGGGAGGTCGGACGCTTGCCCCTTGTTGTGTTTGAATGGCAGCGAGGGGCGGGGGAGGGTCAGAGAAGAGACTATCTTCTGTCTGGTTTCTATGCAGATATGAAGTTTTAAATAAGCATTTGAGTTCACAGCTGAGTTGTGCAGTTCAACGCTGCCGTTATATTTCCCCACGTGACTGCAGAAATTTTCTTTTGTAACTATGAATTAACTCCCTTAGATCTAGTCCCATGTTCCTGCAATCTAGAAGAAACCCAGATAGGGGAATCTCCCTAAGGACAATTATAGGCCATTTCTTCCCACCCCCAACTTTATTGAGATGTATTTGATATAGAATATTGTGCGCGTTTTAAGATATATGTCATAATTGGATACACGAATATATTGTAAAACAGTGACCACAGTCAGGTTAACCCACACAACCATCACCGCACCCAATTACCATTTTTCCTTATAGTGAGGACATTTAAGAGCAGCCCTTTTAGCAGTTTTTAAGGGTACAATACAGTGTCATTAACTCTAGTCCCCATGCTGTATATTAGATCCCCCGAACTTACCACTCATCTTATACCTGGAAGTTAGTACCTTTGCCCACCTTCACTTATACCCCCCATCCCAGCCCCTGGCCACTACAAGTCTACTCTCTGTTTCCATGGGTTCAGTATTTTTAGAACCTACGTGTAAGCGAGATCGTACAGTATTTGCCTTTCTCTGTCTGACTTATCGCCCTCAGCATAATGCCCTCAAGTTCACCCATGTTGTCTCAAATAGCAGGTTTTCTTTCTTTTTATGGCTGAATAATATTTCATTATATTGTAAACCATATTTTCTTAATCCATTCACCCATCAACAGACACTTAAGGTGTTTTCCTGTCTTGGCTGTTATAAAGAATGCTGCAGTGAACATGGGGGTGCAGATATCTCTTAGAGGTGCTGATTTTATTCCTTTTAGATCTATACCCAGAAGTGGGATTGGTGGATCGTGTGGTAGTTCTGTTTCTTCCTTGTTTTTTTGGTGACCTCCATGTTATTTTCCATGGCAGCCACACACATTTCCGTTCCCTTTTCTCCACATCCTTGCAGGCACTTGTTGTCTCTAGTCTTTTTTGTAATAACCATTCTGACAGGTGTGAGGCTGTTGCTGGGTGGATGGGGTTTGAGGTTAGCAGGTTTCCTCCCAGGGTCTTGGTGAGTGTGAATCCAGTCTGGTCCCTGGGTGGAGGGGCTGCCCCCAGGACCCCCCCGTTCAGTAGGGCGGTGCTGGTACAAGGGCCCACCTTAGGGTCCATGGTTGTGTCCTCAGACAGCGGTATAAACCGTTTCTGTGATTCGTTCTTTCTTAGAGATTGTGCCTCTGATGGCAGAAGAAAATGTATTCCATCAACACTCGCATGCACGACCTTGCGTGCACAGCCTGTCCTTTGGCACGTGCATTTGTACGGCAGAAACAGGAGGGTACTGTTCCCTTTTATATTTTTATATACAAAACAAGTAACCATTTCTTTGTTTTTAGGTTTGGCGAGGTTTCCACCAAAGTAAGAAAACCGAAAGAGAGAGACAAGAGGAGATGGTGTTCCTGGGCATGGTAAGTTCACTTACACACACACACAACATGTGTCCGCTTTTCTGAAAGACAGTAGCACCTGTATGGTTTGAGTCTTCCTTAGCCAGTCTTCCTTGAGGGGAGAGAGGAAAGAAAAATAAACAACCAGTGACTGACGAAGGTGGAATCACCTGTACTTGACAGAGCCTGCCTGGGGGGAGGGGAGCAGGGGTGTGCCCCCACACCCGCTCTGTTAGAATCTGTGGACCACCCCCCCCACCCCCCACCAGATGTGGACGCAGGTGCTGAGCTGTTCACCACATGCTGTTCCGGCTGATGTCAGCAGTGCACTCGTCTTTATTAGTATTTGTGGTGACCAGGTTGCACTGACTTGCTGCCTCTGGGGGACAGTGACTGACGCAGACTTGGAAGGGTGTGTTAGTTACCTACTGCTGCGTCACAAATTACCACCAACCGAGCAGCTTTCATACACAGGCGTGTTCTCTCGGTTGCCGTGGGTCAGGAGTCTGCTTGACTGGATGCCTCTCCCAGGCTGCAGTCAAGGTGTTGGCCGGGTTGGGATCCCCTCTGAGGCTCAACAGGGGGAGGATCTGCTTCCCGGTGTGTGTGGTGGTTGGCAGGACTCCGCCCCTGTGGGCTGTCGGATGGAAGCCTCCGTTTTCCGGCCCATTGTTAGCCGGGCACAGCCCCGGCTCGGTGCCATGGGGCCCCTCCATGTGAGAACTTGGTCACCAAAGCCAGCGAGGGAGAGATGCTACATCTCCTGCAAACATCACAGAAGTGGCACGCCGCACGTTTGCCCTATCGGGCGGGTTAGAAGCAGGTCAAGGGTCACCCACACTCAGGCAGAGGGGAGGGCAGGAGGGTGCGAGCACCAGGAGGTGAGGATCATTGGACCCTCTTGGAGCCTCTGTCTGTGCTGGGCGTTTCCTCCTTGGTCGGCATCCCCAGCAAAGGCCTCCGAGGAGGGCAAGGTGTGTCTGTGTTTCAAGTTATAATTGTTGACAGGAACGTGAGGCGGTGCTCACCCGCACCCCCGATGTGTGAGACCCACTCGGCCTTTCTGAATGGCAGTCAGCCGGCTGTGCAAGACCATTAGCATATTTCCATCCTTCACCCCAGTTCTAGTTCTGTCTTAAGGAAATCATCAGAAATAGGGATGTCTGTGCATATAAGTTTCCTAGTGTCCTTTTTAATGAAAATTGGAAATAAACAATTCTGGTATTCAGAGTAGGGATGTAGTTAAGTGATTTGCGGTGGACCTACATTCATGTAGTACCACGCCACCATCAGAAACATGTTTATGACTAATTTTTGGTGGCCCAATGCTCAAAGTGAAAATGCAGGATTTAGAATTATACACAACAATACGATTTCATCTAAATATATACGCACATCCACACACATGCAAAGAAAGAAAATATACCGAGTTCAGATAATGCTAATTTTTTTTTTTTTTGGTTTGGTTTTCATTAATCCTCACCCCAGGATAGTTTTCCCAATGATTTTTAGAGAGAGTGTAAGGAAGGGGGAGAGACAGAAACATTGATGTGAGAGAGACACATCGGTTGGTTACCTCCCACAGGCACTCACCGGGACCGGGCCAGGGATCAAGCCTGCAACCGAGGTGTGTGCCCTTGACAGGAATCCAACTGGCAACCCTTCAGTTCACCAGGGCTGAAGCTCTAACCACTGAGAAACCAGCTGGGGCTGCTCATTTTTTAATGTGGGGACTTTGGAATATTTTTTTGTCCATAATTGTCTGTATTTTTCTACGCGTTTGAATTTTGCTTCATTAACTGGGAAAAAAGTACACATTTAAAAATAAAAGTAAATGGCCATGGAATATTATCAACTTTTTCTCCTACGCCCTCCAAATTGTGTGGTGTATGTGGGGAAGTAGATAGGGAATGAGCTGACATTCCTCTACACCATCCTTAATAGACACACAGATATGAGACATCATAATAAAAACAATAGATACTTCTAATTTCTACTTTAAAAATTAAACTCACAGTCAAAGATTTAATCTCAGATAATCTAAGTTGAACATAAAATTTTGTGTTAGCAGCAGTTTTAATTCAACAATTTCCATTTAATTTAACCCAGCCTGCATTTGCTGACCATCTACAACGTTCATGCACCAGAAACTTAGGGAATGGCCAAACAATATTTTTTCCATCTTGAAGCCTTAATATCTTATATTGATCCCACATAAAGATAGAATGTCTCTTATTATGATTTTTTCTGCTTTACTTTGTCATTTGTATCTGCTCAGCTCAAATAAAAAATGCCTATTAATTTTTCAGCAGTGCAGAGTTTGGACAATATAAAGAGAGTAACTCATCTGTTTTCTATTAAAGGTGACTTTTCTTCCCCCTCTGTGTGCGCGTGTGCGTGTGCGTGAGTGTGGTACGCATGCTCATTGAAATTTTACACCATTGTGAAATATATGGATTCAATTTATTAAGAATGGTATCTTCTGCTCACTAGCTGATAACCATAAAAATTCATTACCCCAAATTGAAGAAATGTTTCCAATTGAACGTATTTTCCACTCTATCACTAATTAAGATAGTGTCTGCTTGTTTTAAAATTTCATTTTCCCCTTATTTCATTTTGTTATATTACGCCAGTGAGGAAACCAGTGACTTATCTGATCAAAACTGTATATGCATCTGTCAGGGAAGCTTGGCATGTTTCCAGGGGTGACTATTTAGTAACTGAAACCAGAATTAGAGCAAGAAACATCATTATGCCATCATTCCACTCCCGGCCAAATGTTTTTCTTACCATTGACATATAAATTTTTTTTGATATTGCCATTTTAAATATTTATATATTCTAAAATCTACAAAGGAAAATAAATAGCACTCTAAAAATTCATGTGCAGTTATTTTAATTGGCAGAGGCAATGGGGTGGATCAGGTAGAGGGAAACTTAATGAATGTCATACATTTCATTCTGTGGATCCCTTTGAAATAATTGGTCCTACAGTCATGACCATCATATATTCTGTGTTAGCCTGAAGCTATCACTGTTTGCATTATAATGAACACTGGGGGGGCGTGTAGTAAAGAGAAAGAACTGTCACGCGAAATGCATCAGTGGGAGCCTCACAGCACCGCGAAGGCCTGCTCACTTTCAGATCCCAACGCAAAGCAAGCTGGGTGCTAGGTTGTTTTTAGGTCAATGAATTAGACTTATTTCTTAAATGAACAAATCACCCCCAGTAGGTGCTGGGGCCCCCGGCACGCTCCCTCCAAGGCTTCCTTTGGGAAGGCGGGTGCAGCGCCCAATGCTTCCCCAGCCCTCAGCACCCGTGGGCTCCTCTTTGGAAAGGGCTGTCAAAGCTGAAATGAGCCAAGAATCAAAATGAAACACTTTCATGGTTGCACGTTAATATCAACCAGAAGCCATGGCGTCCAGCCGGGCCATGTGCATTATGTATTACTAGAGGCCCAGTGCACGGATTCATATACCAATGAGGTCCCTTGGCCTGGCCTGCAGACATCCCCCGAGGGGTTCCGCAAGGGACCTCCCCTGCTGCATGATTGGGGCTGGGGAAGGACCACTGGGATCTGATCGGCCGAACCCCAGCAGCAAGCTAACCTACCGGTCAGAGCATCTGCCCCCTGGTGGTCAGTGCTCGTCAGAGTGACTGGTCAAATGGTCAAACCAACAGTCGGACACTTAGCATATTAGGCTTATATTATATAGGATTGTTGGCTCCAAATGACATTTGATTGTTTCTAGAAAGAAATTTATTCTCAATGAATGGGTATGCCATGATTTATGGGATTTTGTTTTGATTTGTTTTAGATTTTTTTTAATGTTTTAAATGGAAAAGAGCCATTCCCTAAATGTCCCGGGGGGAGGCAGCATCTTAGAAATGAGTGGCCGTCTCCACCACAGGTGTTAAAGGGTTTGCTCCACTGTGTTGACAAGGAAGCAGGCATCCAGGTGGCCAGCTGGGGGCTTTGAGCGACACCCCTGCCCTCCCTGTGAGCCTCTGTCCCGCCTGCTGTAAGAGCAGGACAGAAAAGCTGATAGGGCTTCAGGGGGGATGACAAAGACACCCTTCCAGGAGTGGCGGCTGCTGTTGGTCATCGTGGAACATCAGTGTGTCGTCATGATAACGGAATGATGTCTACAGTGCAAAGTACCAAGAAGTGTGATAACTTTTCTGCGTTGCAGAACACGAAACACTTCAGAACAAGTTGTTGCATCAGATACACAGGCCACTGGCTTCCAAATAGGAAATACCTCGGCCTTTGTGATTCAGGCATTTGCAGTAGAGCTGGAGTGGCGCAGGCCCGAGTCTAGCATGCAACTGAGCATCTGGCTGCCAGGGAGGTGCCCAGGGTCCCTAAGGCAGCAGGTGCCGCCACATTGCCCCCCACCCCTCCCCGTGCCGTGTGTGTGCTGCCCGGGAACGGCCCGCAGACCAGGCTGGCTGTGATCCCGGTGCAGATGTGCGGGTCTCCGACAGGCGGAGCCAGGTGATCAGAGGGTCACGGGGACCCTGAGTCATCTTTGGGAACTCAAAAGCCCACCTCAAGAGGTTTTAAAAAAGGAAAAGTCACTGTTTTGCTTTTTCTGTTAAATGGGATTTTACAGTCTAGAGACGTGGAAACCTTTAGTCTGACGTGAGGTTGTTTTTGTTATTATTCCTCTGCTCTCTTCTCGCCCGGGTCGCAGGTCATCAGCAATTCAGTGATGAAGGTATTCTCTCCCTCTTGCCTCCTGATCCCAGGATTCCTACAGGCACGTCCTCAAACAGGACGTTTGCCCTAATTCATCTCCACTTAGGCCCGCAGAGTCCTTTCAAGGAGCATGCAGAGAGGTTGAGGCCGAGAACTCCGGAGCCGGCCCGCCTGGGCTCACGTTCCAGCCGCACCACTGCCCAGCTGTGTGGACTTGGGTGGTGGCTTGGCTTCTCGGGGCCGAGACTTCCGCATAGGCAAATGGGAAATGGTCCTGGCACCTGCGCATCGGTGTGTGCTATGTATTAAAGACAC